CTAATAGTACGATACATAGGTTACGCAGAAGTTATAAGTTCATATGTTACGGATATATTTAGAAGATTCTTTTTATTTTCCTTTATTTCTTTTATTTAAAATGTATTAAATTGAATATAATATTGAATATAATTTCAACTCTAACCTTTACGACTTGCTTTGATGTTTGTCATTCTTAAATGTTCCTCGATTCCGTCCCAGAAGTTTTTTTATTTAAAAAAGACGATTGGTAAAATTTTTTATCAATTTTATTTCACAATCTGTTTCTTGTTTTGACATTTTTTACAAGGTAAATATCTAAAATTTATATCTATTTTTATCAGTCATATTGCCTCTTTTTTGTTTTCCCACAGAAATGTCTCTCGTAAATGACTATTCATACAGTTTTGTATAAAATATTACAATATTGGCAGGTGCTTTATTAATTCATAACATAAAACGAACAGAAAAAATTGCTTTGAAAAAAAAAAAAAGATTATACTTTTAGATACCGTAATCAAAATTATAAAAAAATAATTTATCTTATTTGCAATAAATTTATAAATATGACTAAGTCATCAAATCTCTTCGGAATCATCCGTTTTTAATTTTTGAAGTTTTTCACAATTTATCAGCATCTCTTTGTGAAAGCTAAAATGTTTTTCTAAAAAATTTGATTTTAGATCGTCTAGTTCCGAAAAACATCCGAACCAATTCGTTCAATCATTCGCGACAATACACCGACGACGACGACGACGACGACGACGAGTACGCGCGTATGCGAGCAAGAACAGTCATTAACTCCGACGTAATTAACGATTTCAGACTACAAGAAGTCGGCCTGCGATCGTGAACGGACCCGAATGCGCGACATGAACCGTGCATTTGAGCTGCTACGGTCGAAGCTGCCGATATGCAAGCCGCCCGGCAAGAAGCTCTCCAAAATCGAGTCGTTGCGCCACGCCATCACATACATCAGGCACCTGCAGAGTCTGTTGGAGCCACAGTACAGCTATGTACCTGGCGTACCCGACCGTGCCGGTGGCTATTACGCGACCCCGTCGGTTCCGCCGACGTCTTTTGAGGTGCAACATCCGGCCGCGGCCCGATGGGAATCCCTAGCTTACTATCGGTATGATTATCACGCGCCCTTCGCCACCCCCTCGCCGCCGACCTTGGTACCGCCTTTGCAACCGAGACTATCAATTGAACAAAACGACCGACAGTTTTCTTACGAAGCGCGTCACTAGATAGTTCGTCGATGCGAGAACAAATCCCGAAAAAAAATTGATGAATGAAAAAAAGTTTTGAAAAACAAAAGAATTTCGTAATGTTATGAATAATTTCTAATACTTCCTTGCGAGACATTAATTCTTTTAGAAGAAACACACTCTTAGTTCTTAATTATAGAGTAAAATATTTGTCTTCAAAGGAATTATATATTATTATAATATATTCTAAATTTGATAATTTTTTGCTTTCCATTTAGATTTAATGATTTTGAAAATATTTAAATACAGAAAATTATATAAGTTGTAATTTTTAAAGCAAAGCATGCATTAGTAATATTCAAGAAATTAAAAATTAAAAATTGTAATAATATTGCAAAATAAATTAATTTATCGATTTTTTTATATTTATTAAGTTTTTGCAAGGATTATTATTGTTAATTGCAATTTCTTAATAAAGTAACAACGTTCAAGTTTTTGAAGGAAAAATAGGAAAGATAAGATTGCAGGAAAAAGTGCAGTTAAAAAAACGAATATTCTCATGATTTATACAAAAGAAGGATTTATATGAATGTGCGTTATTTAGAGAGATTAAAGTAGTCTGTTTATTTTTCTTTATCGCTATGTAATATATCATTTCTGCGAAGTCATTAGTCTCCAGAAAAACCATTACTGTGAGTAGGAGCAAATGCTGATAAAGTCATAGATGCTATTATAAAATTTACCATAGATATAAAAGTGCTCAAATTATTCTAACGTTTTCCTTTATTACATAACTTTTTTTATTTATGTACATAAATATATGTATATAAATATACGAAAAAAAAAAAAAA